AGTGACGTGAGTAGAGCGATTGGAGAATGGATTATTAGACGCTGTTTCGTTCCATCCCTGAGCTGTCAGTGAGAAGGAAGGTCAGATCATGCTCGCAACAATTACTTCTCTGCTTTTGGAAAATAAACGAATGAACAAAATTACAAATTTCCAGACTCCGTATTTCCTCTTGAGTGAGACAAGCAGGTACAGTGTATACGTATCCAATAGTATATTCTTGCAAAAATCAGTTCACAGGAACCAGGGTGTGTCTCACATTCGATGGCGTCTTAGATTATCATCTACATCGAATTTTCTTTCATCGACAAAATCCGTCGAAGAAAAAATCGAACAAATCCTCCTTCAGCAGTGGAAGGAAGCTTCACTGTGGAAGGAATCTTCACTGCTATTTTTTTGGCTTTTGACGAAAATAGAGGACTGAAACATAATCGGGGATTATTACAGTAATGACAATGTCGGGGATTATTAATCCAGCTCATTTAAATATGACTGGATTCATGTTCATATCTTTAAAAGTAATGTACTTACAGTAATGGAGCAAGTACAATACAGTAAAGTATTATACACGCTAGTACTGTAAAAGACAAGCTCATAATTGAACAGAACTATATGAGCTTTAATTTAATTCCTGCCTGAATTATTCAGAAACGTTACAAACACAGTCTTCCATGGTAATTAATCTTATAATTGACACAAAATTGCTTTGCCGAATTCTTTGTGCTGTACTGTACAAGGCACAAGAAGCGCACAACTGATGTTCAGCGTATACAACAAGAAATTAAATAATTTTTGTTGTTGAAAATAATGAAAATAAGACTGAACAATGAATTGAATCCTGAGTACGATAATCCTTTTCAATGAAAGAAAAAGAAAGCGTGCTTAAGATTTGCATGATTATTTTATTAAGTTTAATGGAAAACAATTAAAAAGCGCACAGACATGGGCATTGGGCGGCCGGACATGGACAATGAATCCGATCGATAAACAATTTCCAATGAAAAAATTAGGACGACTATTTTCGAAAATAATCAAAAACAAAGTATAACATAAATGTGATTCTGCTCTGCTCATATGCAAGGCATTGCAGGACAAATTTTCCTGACCAGTTTGAGAACCTCCACTGAGCCTTGTGAGCTACATCTTTGTGAGTAGGCCATACTTGGAATCTCGATCAATCTTTTAAATCGCTAGAGGACGCTAGCAGCTCTCGCGCGATAGTGGACACAGGAAACTTGCAGACAGCGGCATGGCGGCTTTCCTTTCCCCAAGTATGATTGCCAATTGTTCATTAAAGACCGAGAATGCTTATCAATCTCTTCAACAGATCCACTTGTGATATTTGAACTTCTTTCTTGGCAGATTGATACAAAAGAGAAGAAACCGGTACGATACTTCCGTATGAATGTGATTATCTACGTTTAGCGATTTGCTCGTAATTGGGAAGCTCGTCCAGTTGGTAACCGTGACAGCCGGGCGGCTGAGGGAATGGCGGAAAGGCGCTTTCATTCTGTTCGACTGCCCGCGGTTACGTTAGTCGACGTTGTGGCTTCAGAGGTGGAAGGTTCTCTTATGTGAAATTTGTGCTACTTGAATCTTTAAGAATGTGGTGGTGTCCGTTGAGTGCGGCGTGACATGGATGTCGGATCTTCAGAAGCGATTCGAAATACGTTATCATTTTGAATATTATTCTGTGAATTTCGCGAGGTGTTCCTTGAGTATATTGTTGAACTCGTGGCGTCAAAGTTGTCGATTGATTATTACCGCACTTGCGCATATGTGCTCACAGTCGTGAGAATCGCGATACTGTACGTTTCGATTCCATGTGTACTGATTTACGAACAAACCAAAACGTGTAAACTGCGTCACAGTCGCACTTCATTCGTTCATTTATTCGGTATCCTTTGTAACTTATCTTCGCTCCAAGTGCGAGTTGGAATTCTTCCTTGAATCGAGTGGATGAGAATTTTCATCGGAATTTGAAAGCACATACTGGAAGAATCTTATCTGCCTCGGAAAGCGTGGTTTATCTCGTGGAAGCGTCGTTACTCAAGTTTTCGTCGATTCTCGCAATTCCAACGATTCGTTGATGAATCTGCAGTGAATGTGGACTTATCATGAAATATTTCGGTTTTTAATGAAAACCTGATTCTTAATCGTAAGGCATGTGTAGAAGGATTGAACAAACCTTCTTGTCGTGCTGAACTGTGAATCTTGACACCGTCTGACATTTGTTCGCAGTGATGTAGGATAGAAATCGTGATGAGTTAGTGAACCCCTGAAAATGCCCGGAACTCCTCGAGCATCTGTTCGCATCGAGCCGTACACTGAGGCTCACGTTTACTCTCCTCCGAATGGAGGTGGGTTCAGCCCAGGTTCAAATGCATCAACTGACACAGACTCGCACTCCGTGGATTCAAATCCAAGGCCTGAGAATGAGCTGACTCGCAAGGTGGGTTTCCGTAAATTAATGAGTCTTGATCTTTTGAACTCAGAATCACTTACAAGTTTCCTTCCCGTGCTTAAGACTTCTGCTGGCTTCATTCCAACCCGGAGTGTTTCGGTGCTTGCCGGAGATCGCAAGCCCGCTTATAATCCGATGCAGTTTGTGAAAGTAGGTCCCGCCAACCTGTATCAACAGGCCCAGCAACAAATCAAACAGGCGGAAGAAGTAAAAATCGCTAGAGGAGGAATTAAGGCTTGGCGAGATGACGAAGAAGACTGGCAATCGGTCAGGCCTTTGACTTAATTATCCAAGTGTCCCAAGTTGTATCATGCTTATGAGAAAATATTTTCAGAATTTGAACAACTGGAAATGTTCTCGCCGGAAGAAAACTGAGTCGGTTATCGAGCGTGTTGCTGAGGTAAAAAAGTATGAAGACGAAGCTCTTGAACGCGATGCTGCATCGAGGAAAAAGAAGACTTTCTCCGAGATGATGCAGGAGAGGTGAGAGGAAAATATATTTTAGGAACAGAAACGATAGTGTTAGTATCTATTGCTTCTTTTTTCCCTTTCTGCCAATGAAATCAAGGGATTTTCGATGAAAGTCTAATTGTTTCCAAGTCCCTGTCTGAATTCCTTTAGAAATAGTGCATTAAAAACCTTCTCGAAGGCTTTCCATTCTCAAACCTTTGGAACTCATATTTTCTGGATGCCTTTTGGCTATTGTTTTTCATCGACATCGGGAAGAGAAAAGCAATGACAAGGTAACTTTGATGCGTTCTAAAAGGAAGTGAAAGAATAATCAGGAAAATAAATCCAGTATCATCCTGTCAACTCATTTAAGAAGCAATTTAAGGACTAGAATAACACCAATTTATATTTAAAAAAAAGCTTGTTTCCCCAACTCGCATTTTTTCCTGGTTCCTTAAAGTTCTACTTGAAAGAGGTTCAACTGCAGATTCCCAGTTTCATTCCCAATAAAATTCAGTTTTCAGTAAACGGAAAATACCGTCCAAGACAAGTGCGTGTGACATTTACATTGTACCGCCAGAAAACATTACATATACAGTAATTAGAATAATCTGGGCTAACCCATTATACGAAGATTCTATAGGGGATAAAAAAAAAATTACCAAGTTCGAGTTGTTTGGGATTGTAGCCTTGCACCATACCTCTTCACCTTTGTCTCGAAGATGTTTTAGTATTACTGTATCATAAAAATTAATGGTTGGATGGGTTATGTTTTTTGATGTTTCAGGTCAGAGAAAGGCAGGAAGAGCAAAACCTCGTTTGACCTGAGTTTGTACACCGACGAGACGGGTGAGACGTACGAGGATGACGACGACGACGGTTCCGACAAATACAACGGGAACCATCGCATGGATCAACGACAGGGGGAATATGACGATGACGACGACAAAGCTGGGGACAGCAGTGGATCCGCTTGCGAGAATTCGGAAAACGAACCGGAAGTGCGCGACGATGACGCGGACGGAGAAGAGTCGCGCGTTTTTTACAATCACGACAATTACTCGGGCGTCATTAGCGGCAATGGCTCGTCGGATCGCGGCGATCTTGTGGGAGCCTCGAGTGCAGTGGCTCTTATGAGCAAATCAGTGAACGACTTGACGATTGAGCCCACGACTGACGACGACTCGGGCTTTGGCTCGTCTTTGTCGAAAGCCCCGTCCACCCCTCATGTTTGGTCTGTCGACAAACCGGTGAGTTTAGCTAGGTTTTATTTTTATTGTATCTCTTTGACCATGAACTCGGGACATGTGCGCGAAAAACTTCTCATTTGTCAGTCTACAATATTGTGTTTCTGCCCCAGAAGGGGTCAAAGCCGCGTTTTCAAGTTCTGTATTACCCCGTCATGCGGACGATGTGACTTTAGACACTTGAGAATACAAAAATTTTCCCTTAAATTCGGACTTTTATATCGGATTTTTTATACCTCTTGAGCAAGTGGAGTTCTTTGTACGGCGGATAATCCAAAACATTTCTTGTCATAGATCATAAACGTACATAAATTCATAATCCAAAATAGGCTAATTTTGTGCTTCTCATTTTAGGGTTTTTTTTTTCTAATTAACTGTGTAGAGCGCAAGAATATGTGTGCTCGTTTTGGTTTTGGACTCCTTTCCATGCCAAAAGGGAAGATTTTGCGTCCTTCTTTACTGTTATTTTCTGTATCTTGAAGTTAAGAACAAGATTTCGAGGAATTTTTCCGGGAATATTTGACAAACTGGTGAACCAATTGAATACTATATGTTTCCCATTGAAATCTACGGGGAAACATGATGAGACATGTGAATGTTCCGACATAGGGACAAGGTCCATGAACCAATTACGTCCGCATCTTGGGGCTTCACTGTATTTGTGATTGTGCTGGAACTCAGCGGTTGAGCGCGTTTCAGACCTGTGTGACCTGGAGAAGTGTGTCAAAATTGCAGAAAAAAATTGTTCATGTTATACAGGATGCAGGTTTTCTCGGTCCACAACGAGTATTTTTCTCCGAATGGCGAGTCTTTATTTGGTTCTTGAGGGTTCTTCTGTCCATATTGCAGGAGTTCCCAAAACAAAATTCTCTCTGCAACGATGTTTTTCTGGTCCCTTGAATTTCGTTGCAACAAGAATATGTGTGCTCGTTTTGGTTTTGGACTCCTTTCCATGCCAAAAGGGAAGATTTTGCGTCCTTCTTTACTGTTATTTTCTGTATCTTGAAGTTAAGAACAAGATTTCGAGGAATTTTTCCGGAAATATTTGACAAACTGGTGAACCAATTGAATACTATATGTTTCCCGTTGAAATCTACGGGGAAACATCATGAGACATGTGAATGTTCCGACATAGGGACAAGGTCCATGAACCAATTACGTCCGCATCTTGGGGCTTCACTGTATTTGTGATTGTGCTGGAACTCCGCGGTTGAGCGCGTTTCAGACCTGTGTGACCTGGAGAAGTGTGTCAAAATTGCAGAAAAAAATTGTTCATGTTATACAGGATGCCGGTTTACTCGGTCCACAATGAGTATTTTTCTCCGAATGGCGAGTCTTTATTTGGTTCTTGAGGGTTCTTCTGTCCATATTGCAGGAGTTCCCAAAACAAAATTCTCTCTGCAACGATGTTTTTCTGGTCCCTTGAATTTCGTTGCAGAGAGAAAGAATTGAAACTGAGCAGNGAGTATTTTTCTCCGAATGGCGAGTCTTTATTTGGTTCTTGAGGGTTCTTCTGTCCATATTGCAGGAGTTCCCAAAACAAAATTCTCTCTGCAACGATGTTTTTCTGGTCCCTTGAATTTCGTTGCAGAGAGAAAGAATTGAAACTGAGCAGTGGTTGGTTGAGTGAGTTTCACTCGAAACCCGTGATAGATCGGATACATTTGTAAATACAGTACTGTACAAAAGATACGAATCAATTGAGGAATATTTCCAGTACCGTTGAATCATCGATGGGCGAATGATTTTCTGATACTGTTGATGCCTCATCAATTTTTAATTAACCCTGTTTATTTAATTTGATGACTTCGTGCGGTTTTTTGTTCTGTTGGGACATGTTCCATGGCTGCAGTGAACATCGGTTTTGTTCGGTACACTTTGAAAGCTTCTCGCGTCGGCAAAGTGAAAGAAAATCCGGATTTTTCGTCGAAATTTCGAGTGAGCTCTCAGTTGTGTGATTTGCATTCGCTGGAAATCGTGTGTGCTCTGATCTCAGAAATCGGTCAACATGTGACAACGGTTATTTGCACTCCCATTTTTGTCACGAGAGTACAATATTTCGTCAGTTTATCTTCCTGTTCAGTTATCGTGGTTTCTACCTTTTATCTGTGGAGATAAGCTCGTATGGTGCTTGAATGAGTAACGTGTCTCCGGTTCACCTCAGTTACTTCGTGTAATTTGGTGATTTCGTGACTCTTTTTTCGCAGTGTTGGAAGGTTTTTTTTGTAGTGGTAGTTTTTTAGTGGTAATAGGTTCCCTAAGCATGTCGTCGTCGGAGGATTTCCGTTATATCACGCAGCGATGGTCGTTAAAGGTTCGTATGATGATTTTGAACCCATTCTCATTTCGGAAGAAGGCCATAAAAATCTGCTCGGTAGGCAAAGCCTTGTAATTTATTTTTGCGTCGGTTAACGGATGCTAATGTGTGAGTGAGGTCTCGTCCCTGGTCAATTTCTGCCCGGAATCAGAGGACAAATCTGGCTCCGGATGTTCGTTTTTTCGGAACGAACGAATAAGTGAATGCCATGCGCATCGACCAGACCGGAAGCCTGCGATTTGCGGACTTCATGCGCTTCCAGTCTTTTGTTCCGGAGCCATGTGATGATGGATTTCTTTCTAGTCTGCTCCAAAGTTCTGTTTGTATATTCCGTGGTCGGATTTCGCGGTTCGACGAATGCATTTGTATCACGCACCTGTATTCAGTCGAACTGGAAGGGACCAGCGACAAAATTCGATTCGGGGAGGTTTAGGGAAACAATCATTTGTATTGAGGAGAAATAAATGTGAATTTCGGAAAATTTTAATTCGTGATATTCTGGGCCTTAAATTGATTTTTTTGGATGAGTTGCCCGGATTCTGAACTTGGACGAGGCAAGCGTTTATTTGCCCAATCCATTTTGCTCTTTCTTTCAATATGCATCGAGTTACTTTTTTATTGCTTTTTTTCTTTTCTGTGTCGATCAATTAATACTGTAGTCAAAAGACCTCCAGAAAATTCGAGCCTTCGGAGGTTTTTGTTGCATTGTTTTTGAGGGAATTCATAGATGGACTTTGACCCCTTTGACATGGGGAGAAAAACGGCTTACGGGACCGAAAACAAAATGAAAATCGTTGTACGTTGAAAATCGTGGACAATATTTTTGTAGTTGGAATCCACCTGTATTTTTTTTTCGTTCCCACCGCGAGGGTCAGGCTTTGCTGTGCTGAATATTCCGCGCTGGGTAGCTTTTTCTGTGGGCGTGACGTGTACACAGTGATTTTGTTGGTTTTTTATTTTCTGTAAGTACAGTATTTTTCCTCGTTTCGTGTCGAAGGCCACGCGGAAATCCTGTCCTGTTTATTTCACTGCCGGATTGTGTGACGGGAGAAATTTCGTCTGCGTTTGTTGGTCGAGCGCGTGGATTCGAGGCAGCACGAATTCCAACATCAAAACTCAACTCTTGGCTTGTTTTTGTGTCTGATCATGTCTCGGTTTTTTTACGGGTAAATGGATTACATTTGAGAGGAGCAACTTATTTTGCTGCATCTTTTCTCTGATCTTTTCGGCATGCATCTAGGGAAGGTAAGGAAATTTGTGAAGTATTTTAAATAATTGATTTATTGTCTGATATGGGGAGTATTCTCGTAGATTCCCTTGGAAGATTTGTTCTGGAACAATGGTGCATTAGTGCAGTGTATTTTTCTGCCCTTGGTGCAGTTGGTAGACCTAACAATTCCCGTGGGTTGTCCAAAACATTTTTGATTCTTTGAACAGCAAGATTGTTCCCGAGCATGTGAGCGAATTAAATTCCAAGAGTTATGACCTTCAACTCGAAGCATTTCAGTTTATGAACCCTGAACAATAAGTACGCTTTTCAACTCATGCTCAAGCCACTTCTGGTTTCCCCACCTCCGACTGTCGACAACTTTTTTGGCCACTTTTACATTCTCACAATTTCGTGCAGGGATAAACATTTTGGGATTTAAGTCATATACTTTTTTATGGAAGCTTTAAAATCAATCAATTCGTTATGACTGAGTTGGAAATCATAGAAATTGTACGAAAAGAAATCTCTCTAAGCTTCTTGGTTCAGCAAAAATCCACGATTTTCTCGAAACAATCGTATTTTTCGTATGAATTGAACGATTTTGATCTCGAGTATGTTCGTTGGGTGTTCACTGTAGATGAAAAGGTTTAATCCTCTGATTATCAGCGTGCTAATGTGATTTTTCATGGGCTGATGGATTTTTTTGAAAGATTATCCAAACCCAATGGAAAATGAACGGAACATATCAAAATTCGCATTTGATTCGCTTCGTATTTGATGGGATGCATTTTTGAAGGTCGACGAATTTCGTCGGGCCTCACGAAATAATATTGCGCCGAACGAAATGAGATTCCGCTGATGTAATGAAAATATGCCGTTTCGTGGGCTGCGGAAATTTGTATTTTTGTCAAATGGTCGATTGACCTCCTTTTTATGCGTGGTGGTGTTCAAGGTAATCGTGAAGAAGGCGATTGTCTCGAATCGATACTCTAGCGTAGAACACCTTCGTTATTTTTTATTTTTTGACAACATCAGCGGATCATTTTCTGTCACTTCAAGGACTTGTGCAGTACTTGTCAGCGGGGTGCGTCATGGAAAGAAAAATATTGTGACCTTGGTTCACTCCTGTCCTGCGTCAATTTTGTTGCGTAATTTTTTCAATGTTCGGATTTATACTCGGAGATGAAACAAGAGGATACATTATTCGAAGTGTTGCCATCGTTACTTTGATGCGTCGCGAAATATTCNTTATCTGTGGAGATAAGCTCGTATGGTGCTTGAATGAGTAACGTGTCTCCGGTTCACCTCAGTTACTTCGTGTAATTTGGTGATTTCGTGACTCTTTTTTCGCAGTGTTGGAAGGTTTTTTTTTTTGTAGTGGTAGTTTTTTAGTGGTAATAGGTTCCCTAAGCATGTCGTCGTCGGAGGATTTCCGTTATATCACGCAGCGATGGTCGTTAAAGGTTCGTATGATGATTTTGAACCCATTCTCATTTTGGAAGAAGGCCATAAAAATCTGCTCGGTAGGCAAAGCCTTGTAATTTATTTTTGCGTCGGTTAACGGATGCTAATGTGTGAGTGAGGTCTCGTCCCTGGTCAATTTCTGCCCGGAATCAGAGGACAAATCTGGCTCCGGATGTTCG